AACAACTACTGAGATAGTCAAAATACCTGTAGAGGTTTTCCTTGATGAGCCTGCCTTATAATTGTGAATCTGGAATTTGCACAGTACATTTAATACTGGAGAAGCTTACATATTTAGATATATTTAAATGTATAATTATTTGACATGCTTTTCACACTTGAGTATCTTAACTCTGATAAGCTGATGGGGGAGGGGGGGGGTTGTTGTGGTTTTTTGTTATGTGTTTGTATATGTGGTTTTTTGGGTTTGTGGGTTTGGTACATACTTCTGGAGGTCTGCAGAGGGGTTTGTTGAGTAATCCTACCCCTGTAGTAGCAGAATAGATGCTAAGAAAATGCCATGAGCCTTAAAAGAATTTGCATCAGGTAGCAACAAAATAATTTTGAGCGACTTCCTGGAGAGTGAAAATCTCAGAAAAAATGGCTCATGAAAAATAGGTTATAGATGCTATAATATTCCCTCTTTATCAGCTCTCCACAGATTCCCAGCATGTATCAAGTAATTAATTTAGGCATCCAGAATATTTGAAAGGGATCAAGAAAAAAAAAAAATTGCAAACAAACCTCCAAACACATACAGAGAGTTTAAAATGTTATTCACTACCTTATATAATGTAACGTTATGTGTCCTGGAAGGACACTATCATTAATACATACCTTAAATGACAAGATTCCAGCCAATTTCCAGAGTATTTTGAACAAACTTTACAGAAGCAAAACCTACATTTAGTTCAGAATATAAGTAACTGCCACACAGCTTTTACTTAAAAGAAAATTACAGACAAGAAGCATTCCATGCGTATGCGATCAGTATAGCAATATGTAGAATCTCTGGGTTTTTTGAAAACCACCCTGTACAAAATTGTATTAAATTACTGTATGTGCACAGTGAGAGATAAGAAATGGAGAAGAGCTATTTCCACTGGAGAACCAAACGATGGTAAGGTGTACAGAAGAAATGATAGGTTTCTCTGGCTTGACTATTATGATTCTAGAGTGTAAAGAGAAGAATAAGTGTATTGTCATTTATACAAGCCTTGCAACAGTCAGAAGACAGAAAGTTATTAGCGCAGACAGCAACCAGCTCTACAGAAAAGCATTTTCACAGTACTACGAAGGTATCTCCTGCCACTAAATATAATTTAATAATTTGAAATTAATAAAGTTATGATCTTTTGTATAAGATTTCCACTAATTACTTTACAACAATACACTGTTCTTAGTAATGATGTCCACATAGACAAATAAGGGGAGCATTTGGGGGAGGGGGAGTGGCAGAAGGTGGTGCATGCTTAATGTTATTAATAATTTTATTTGCTGAAATAGGTATCTATTGTTCCAACTTAGGGTGTATCTAAAAAAATATTATCATTCAATATTGAGAAATGGAAATTACTCTTTCATTTCTCAGTAAAACATCTTATGCATAGGGAAACAAACAGATCTTTACATTAAAAAGATACAGATACACTTTTAAACCTTAACCTTTGTTGAAGAAATCTCCTATGATTTTATGTTCAGCTGACCAAGAGAAAGCACGTGAGAAGCAGAGTGTTAGCTTGGATATAGTGGGTTTAGGGGTAAGACTATCAACTGAGCAAAACTTCAATTACAGACTAATTTAATGTATACGCAAGAACATTATTGCAATTCAATAAACATCCCTTCAGAATTAAACAATTCCAATTTGCTTTCATTTCAGCATTGCATGCATTACAAATTTGCTATTATCCACACTAGAATTAGTCAGACTGTTTGGAAGCAGTCATCCATGCAATCTGAGTGTGTCACAGTGCTGCATCAAACTAACCTCAAATGAGCCACTTAAACTTACCTGCTTAGTAAACAGGAGCAAGGAGCCGAGGAGCGTCCTTTCCCATAACAATATCACTCTCCTGAAATTTCTTCTAGCTGTGTGTCTGCCTGAGTAACCCAGCAATGAATCTATCAGCATCTCCCCTGATTGACATCCAACTATTCATGTTTATAACTTATTCTTCCATGTTTTCCCTTCTTATATTGTTGAACATGAAAGTGTCAGGCACCTTCTCAGCTTTGCATATTCTAATATTTGGTTGCCCTGGAAGATTGCCTTCCCTCTATTTAGCTATGACACAATACTAGATATACTAGTATGGGCAACTCAATTCCATTTTGATCAGGAATTAATTCCTCTGGATTTGAACAAGATGCAAGATCATGAGTGGGAATTAAAAGCACCTGGCATCTAATAGGATCATTCTCTTCATCATCTGTGTAGTCTGAATATCTGCACCATGCAACACTCTGTGTTTAAGCCACTGTGAAGGCATAACTATACTGATCATCAAATGACAGAGTAAACTGGCAGAAAGTACTACAGAGGACAAAAGTGATCTCGTTTCTATAGCAGCCCTCCATTTTCACAGAAAAGTGAAACATGTAGATCAATAAAATTATACTTGGCAAGCAGTCCCATTCTCCTCCCACTTGACGTCACTCCCACCCCAAACAGAACGTCTCAGGAGCAACTTCACCACCTTCTGATCTCTCCACCTAATAGGTGGTGACCATCCCTGTGGTGCAGGTCAGGGTACATTAAAACACAAGCAAACAAACAAACAAACAGCAGTGCATAGCACTTTACTGCATGTCTCATGGAGGCAAGATTAAGACACATCTTGAAGGCACAGTATCTGCTCCTGAATCACAGTAAATATCAGGGCTAAAACCCTAGCATCCTTCAAGAACTACTTATGTTTCTATTGTGTACTTCAGGACATCAGCAGAATCAATCCTGTCATTTACTCCCAACAGCCTTGAGCAGACTCTTCTGACATGCAATGCTCCATCACAAGATTATGGATGCCTGATAAAATACTGTAAACGAAGGCAGATGAAGTTGACTGACAAACTGTTTAGCTGTTACATTAGAAGTATGATACATTGGAAGTATCCATAGTTACTATGCATTACTACAAAAGCTTATGAAGACAGCTGTATGCAAGCAAAGTTTCAATTCAAATATTTAAGAAAACCATGGAAATTCATGTCACTTTTACCCTTTTTTCCTACTTAAATTTAATATGAATAAAAGAAGAAGGTCCAACAGGATGTCTATTTTTATACATAGATGCCATCCCGCATAAACCTGCTGCTTTAGTGCAACTTACCTTTCACTATTAATTCTGCATAATTCGAAACTCCAGATCCACCATCTGAACGAATGACACATCGGTACTTGCTGATACTGCGTTGAGAAGTGTCAGCCACACTGACAGTAGCAGAAAAACGTCTATGGTTGACCACTCGAGTGACCATTAATGCTGTGTCCCTTCCATTCCACTGCTGCAAAGGCAGACAAAAATAATGTAAGTTGTGAAGACGCACAGATTATGCATCCCTATGTAACTCATTCTTTGTTATCCTTCTTAACATCGTTCAGACCTTCAGGTTCACATCACTAGGTTAGATTTTATACAAGCACAATTTTTCAAGAAAGACTAATAGCCATACCCCTGAAAAATTACAGGGTTGTATGAACTAGGTTGTATGAACTAGGGCTAGGAATATATTCCTACACATATATCTAAGTTTTCATGTCTATTTAATTATTGAAATGTATTTGGGCATTTGCTGTTATATGCATTGACAAGGCTGGAGAGTGACAGTTCAGACTCTGCAATTGTACACAGTATATTTAGATGCCTGGCTAGGATATGAAAATACTACAAATGAGTCGATTTTGTACACCTGGGAAAATGCTACAAATAAACAGATTTTATAAATTTGGCATTTTCAGATGTAAAACTTTGATTCAGGACCAATTTAAAAAAATTGCTTGAATGAGCACACATCCCTATGTGTCCAACATTCTTTAATAAACTTCTCCACTGATGCCACACTACATTTTCCAAACTAGAAAAGGGACAGATGAAGAATTAGCTAGATATAGTTCTCCACAGCATAAACACCTGAACTTGCTCAGTTGGTCTAGTTTATTAGGAGTTTCAAAGGAAAACACACTGCTGTTTTGCTGACTTCCAGTAATCAGGTTTTGGGGGTGTTTCCAAGGTTATTTTCATTAAATGTTTCAATTTTAGAGAATGGAAAACAGGTTTCCACTAGCAACAATAAGGATTTCCTCCAAAACCCCTGCTTCTCACAGGAAAACGTTCATACTGCTTCAGGTCAGAAGTGTTTTTACACACATCTATTCATAACTGTGGAAAAATTTCACTGAAAGAACTCAAAAAAGATAAAGAGTAAGCCAAAAATATATCTCAGTGGATGCTAAAAGCACACCATGGGTTAATAAATTTCAGATAAAAATGCAATTTTGAGGAGAACAGCTGTGATGAGAGTACAACTAAAGTGACTGTCAAGGCATTTTTACATGATGCCAACTACATTTCTCACCAACTCAGGTCTTTTCCCCAGTACTTTTTTCATTTTTATGATTAGGTAACCTGACTCCTCCCCTAGTATACTTTTAAACTAGATTTGAAATTGTTATTTTAAATGTTTGTTAAAGTGTCTGAATTCAATTAAAATGTTTGAGAAAATATGTTCTTTATTTGACTACAAATGCCACAGCAACCATGACAAAGGCTCTTCTTGTCTGCCTCAGATGTTACAAATATGGGGTGGTCAGGCCCTCAGTCACATCAGCCAAAGCTGGGAATAAAAACTCTTGACTGCCTTAAGCATTCTTAAAGTTTATGTCAGCCCTATGTACATGCACAGTACATACAGCAGGAGAATCCTTGTGACTTGTTAGGGATGTTAGGTGTTTAATGGCATGGTTTAGAAGAAGCAAAGAGCTTCTAGAAGAGTTCTAGGTACAGAGCATGGTAATGTTGGGACTCCACATACCCAAGGACTTCAAAGAGCAGAAGAAATAATTCTGTCCTTCACTGGGAAACATGCACTCCACACCTTCAGTTTGATATACGTTCCGTTTCTAATTCTAAAACTGAAAATGAGTTCTTAAGGTTGTTACTATACCCACCTGAGTAGCACAACCCAGTAATTCAAGACCAATTGGTAGGGTGAAAATACAGACATTAAGAGAGGGAACGTTTTAGTCTTTTAGTGAGTGACTAAAAGGAACAATCTGTTATCAGTGCAGCTAAGAGGAAACTGCGAGGAAGAACAACACTGGGTACAAACTGGTTTTGCCTATTTTCACCACCCAGGTGGCAATCTCAGACCTTGGAGTAGGTTTCCTTCTTAACATGTCAGTGACTCTGGGCTGAAGACATTTTTGGAGGGTGAGAGGAAAGAAGATTGCATAATTAAGCAGAAGTGAATAACTATTCCACTTGTTCTGTCTCTTTTGCATTATGAGTGCTTACAGGTGCATAGGCATTTGCTTGGAACGAAAACTTTGCTGTGACTGGCCATTTTTTCCATTTTATGTATCATGATTCTATGCTTTGTCACCTTAAATTCTCACCTAGAAACAATTTAAGGCTGTTCTCAAAGGATCTTGATGAAAAGATTTTGCTCCATCATCCAGTATTTCTCTAATATTTTACTTTAAAAAGTAAGAAAACCCAAACAAACAAACAAACAAAGAAAAAAAAAAAACCCAAACCAAACAAACAAAAAAACCCACCACAAAAGAAAAGCTCATTACTTTACCTGGAGCCAAAGTTTGTCATGTTGCGACCACTTCCCCCCAGCAATGCACTGGAATGTCGCGTTCTGTCCCACATTAACCTCCACGTTCTGAAGCCGTAGGAAATGAGGTGCTTTTCCTAACAAAAGATGCAAAGTATTGCAAGGGTAGAGCAAGGCGGTAATGGACTGGGTTACACCAACACAGATATAAACACTCAGCAAAGCATTAGGGCCTATCCTTGACAAAGTGATTTTACAAAATCAAGCTGCCCTTCAGTATTTAACTCTTCACTGCAGAGTGAGGTGGATGATCAGTCTGACAGCAGATGGCCTAAGGCATCATACAGAACTCTGGCACATCTCAAAACACAGCCTTAGATCAAATCACAACACAAGTTCATGGTCATCAGCACAATTTCTTACTGCTTGCTATAAAGAGCAATTGAGTAATTTCTTTTCTTCAGAAAATTGTGTTTCTAAAAAGGTCAAAAAAAATCAAATGCTTCTGAGCTTGTCAAGCATGACTGACCCAAACCAAATTTTCACAAGGGTCTTTTTATCTTTTTTATTTTATTGACTATCAAATACATCCTAGGCCTTTAGAATAATAATGTGTCATTAATATCAAATCAGATATTAAAGGAAATATTCATATAACTGACAGCATTTTATCACTGTATTAGTTTAAGATCACTCATACAAGTGTTTTGCTGAAACTAAATTCTGTATTAATTCAATATTAAACCACTGATATTAAAATGCAGATTTCGCATTTGTTCACAAAGGAGCTAGATCAGACGATCATCTTTTTGATGAAATACCAGACTCATTTACCTCTGTAAGTTAACTCACAAGAAAATAAAAGGGATTACAGTAGTGAATCTGACACTTTTAAATGAACTTAGTTCTTGCTGGCCTTCAGAAGAAAGTTTGTGTATCATTTGAAAACTTTCAGTAAGCTGCAAAAGGATGCGGGCCTCTGTGTCTGTGCGTGCATGAACCTTGACATATCAGTATCTGTCTACTATATGCACATGAACAGAGAACACATGCCCTTATGCGTTTTTATCTAGCTTATGTATCCCATTCACCACACGCTCGGTTTGCTGACAGCTCCTGAAACACAGTGACCCTGTACCATCGTGCTTTCTGGGGATCAGTAATTTGAGTCAAAGTTTAGTGGAAAACTACCTCTGCATGACAGTCAGAAAGTACTGTATGTGCTAATGTATGTACTAATTTCTGCCCACAGTCTAAGGTGGGCAGATATAAGTCAGCTTCAAATATGAAGCTGTGTAGTCTGGGTAAGTGCAGTCAGACCAACTCCAAACTCCTAGTCCTCAGGTCTGCCCAGCTTCCAGAGCACAGGGCTGTCCTAAGGTGGCCAGTGCTCATGCACACACAGTCAATGAGCTTTTAGCATAATGAAAATTGATACTCCAGTGCATTCCTTCACACGATAAAAAAAAAAGGCAACACCAGGAAGATATTTATTTTTCTCCATTACTGTGTCATTAGGGGCATTTCACTGCATTTTTGCTGATATTTAAGTTAGTCTGCTGTACTGTCATCTATGAAGGTGAAGCAGAAATGAAGAAATAACACCAATAATTTCAGTAACCTCCAGGGTCATCAGGAGCTTCATGGTTCCTGTGTTTCAAGTTATAACAATTGTAAACTGAATATGAGGGGCCAAGCCTGTACAAGTCAATGGAACACACTGCAGTGACATTTGTCCTGGTGGCTGTCATCGCTGAACAACAAAAGCAACACTGGGAATCAGACGGGAGAAGCATTTACAAAGACTGCAGAGAACTTGCACTTTGTAAAGAGTTCTGTATGCTGTGGGTTGCAAACTGATTCAAAGCAGACCAGTTAATTATTTGAATCATTTTAGGTTTGAGTCACCAAGAATGCACTTCATTTTGAGGAGGGACCTGCAAATACCTGGAGAAATTTATTTAAAATCAGTTTAAATACTTGATTAAGCAGAGGTGTAACACAGCATCCTGTCTCTTTTTTTTTAAATCCCATAACTTTCTTGTCTAGGCTTTGTCCCATAGTTTGTTCAGCGGCCTCTTTCCCAGTAGAGGGATCAGCCATCAGCCAACATGCTGTGGAACACAAGCAGACCATTTGGGGGATTTGTTTGGATGCTGCCAGTTATCAGCAACATCTGGTTAATACAGACTGTAAGTATTTCTTAATGAAGTAAATGCACCCAAAGGCCTGAGCAATGAGCACATGGTAAATACAAATATAATTTAGTTAAACAGCAATTAACCATACTGAAGTTATCAGAAATGTCCCGTAAAACTTGGGCAGAACCATGTCTGTCACATTGAATGGCAGCTATTATTTGAAATTCTGTATTGCAAGAAAACCAGTTGATGTCCCTCCATCCATATGATCCATGATTTTTTTTTGTGAACAGTTGTCATTGACTTGAACTAGTGAGAGGGGCTGTGAAACTATGAACTAGTGAGAGGGGCTGTTAAAAAAAAAAATCTTTAGAAGAAACTGTATACTACATTCACAATACAGACACACAAAGTCCTCAAGCCACACTGTAGATGCATAGAGAAACAAGACGAGTTCAGACTCAAAGACTGAGGATCAAGGGTTCTTTAAATAGAAAAAAAACATAAATCTAACCTTATTACTATGGCTGTGACAGAAGAAACGCGGCACTAATATTTTTGAACAGCGTAATGAACCTGCATTAGTTTCTACTCCTGTGCACAGGTATTGTCTGAATGAGATTTATTTTGACTACCTTTACGGGGGTGTTGAGTGGGTTTAACATTTCTTGTGAGAGAGACCTTTAGGATACGTCCTTTACCAAGGAAATACTGAAATAGTTTGTTTGTTTCTTCTTTTCTTAAGTTAACCACACAGAATATTATCAGAATATGATTCAGAAATAATAAAACAATCAGTTTGATATTATCATAACAAGAGAGGAAGAGAGACTTCCACAGATATCCTGGCACTAACTATAGACCAAGAACAGTTTTACCTTTTACACAACTTGCAAAGTAATGTAATTATGCAAGGCTGATTGTCTTTAGGTGTCTCAGAGGGATACAAGAATACATTTTAGCACTGACCAAATTGCGTAAATCACTCCTTTAGACTGCAAAGCCTGGTATATAACATGTTGATACAGTTAGAAAAACAAAGAATGCTCACTGCATGGATGGGCGAGAACTCTGACTTCATCCACAGCTATGTACCCTGGATGTCCTTTCAGAGAGACAGATTCAAATATCACCTGAAATACAAAATAAGAAAAAGGTTTCTTAAAGATAGCTACTCTAGTCATTGGGCCAGTCACCATATTCTGCTCTTATTCCCATGTCTGAATCATTCAATGCATTTCATCATTAATAATGAATGGATACCAAGGCAATTCAGTATGTACGTGCACACCAAAGATTGAAAATCTGTTTGATATAGAAAAGAAAAAGCCAGAGCAACATTCATTAGGACTAGAGACAACTGTGTGATTATTTTTTTGGGAAGAGCAAAAAATACCCTGTGTGTATATACACACCAATATTCACTTTAAGCACCAGTCCAAGAACATTACGTGAATAATCATTTGACATCTTGTTCTTAGTATGCCTTGGAAAGTTGGAGAATGCTGTACATGAGATAAAATTTTTGTATTGAATCAGTAACCCTGCATGGATTCTTCTGGAGAAAGCCCTGATTTGGAATGCATGTCATTGCGGTATTAGAAAGCAAATTATGAGTAATGGATGACCCCGTATTCTAGTTACTGGACTGTAATAAGATTCACCCAGATATAATAAAGTTTCTCCTGCCTTTCCCTGGATTGAACTAGCATGGTCTGAGAATGAATATTCTTAAAAACCACATGTAGTATTTCTCTACGTGAATGGTACACTAAATAGCACTTTATATTTTATTTATGTATCTGGATAATGAAAGTGTTCCACTAATTTGGGTCTCAATAGACAGAAATTCAATTCAGATGAACAAAAATGTCATTCTACCCTGTGGCTTTGTGATTTTACCTGGAAAATTGCCCTGATCTGACGTATCCTGTTACTAAAAATATACAGGCTATCTGAAAATCAGCTGTGCAGAAGAAAACCAAAAAAAAACCCTGATAAAAAGATCATTAAAACTAAGTTAACTACTGCCAAATAAGTCAACTAAAAATTCAGAAGAAAATAGTATTAAATACAGTGCAGTTTGCCCAACAATTAAAGGACATCAGCACATGAGTTGTAGACTATGACCTCATTGCAGCTTACGACTTCCTCAAGGGGGGCAGTGGAGGGGGAGTGCTGATCTCTCTCTGGTGACCAGCAATAGAACCTGAAGAAATGGAATGAACCTGCATCAAGGGAAGTTCAGACTGGACATTAGGAGAAGGTTCTTCACTGAGAGGGTGATTGGTCCCTGGAAGATGCTCCCCAGGGAAGTGGCCACAGCACGAAGCCTGTCAGAGTTCACGGAGCGTCTGGACAACGCTCTTCGTCATATGGTTGGTTTTAGATGGTCCTGTAAGGAGCAGAGAGTTGGAATCGATGATCCTTATGGGTCCTTTCTAACTTGAGATATCCTATGATTCTATGAGGAACAAGAAATTTAGAAATGTTAAACTGCAATAGAAAAAAAAAATGCAGACTGATTATTCAACATCTTGGTAATGCCACCTCTCAAGTTAGTGATGCTCTTCCCAAAGGAATGAAGTGCTATCTTTTACTATTTAAAAAAAAAAAGAATGGGTCGAGGTGAAATGGACGCTGTCCTCTGCATTTGAAAGGGATGTACCCAGTTTCATTCCCTCTTACTAAAGTTATGTTCATACTGTACTAAATTGCTGATTTTTCCATAAGCATACCATAATGCTTTCAAGGACAGAGTTAATTAACTTATTCAGCTGGCACGGTTATTACTAGAGCAGTATTCCAGTGCAGCTACTTGTTTTGTAGGAGAAAGTATTTCAGTAATTTGTAACCTCTAAAATTCATTACTAGAACACAAATTTAACTACTTAAAGCCATTTTTCAACACTTATTTTTATTCTAAATAAAAGCTGGTATTTCCAGTCTGTCACTGCTTAGCCTCTTCTTCATGTCCTTCATCAGAAGATTTAACACAGTGAAAGATCCAACTGTCCAAAAGTTGATCACTGTATGTCCTGGCTATGAATGTAGACTGATATGTCCTTTGTAAGTCCAGAATTGCTGTTAATCATTTTGCTTTGCACTTGGGCTTCCAGAATGTAGTTTCTACTTATGTTTCCATGACTTCCTAAGACCTGGTCCCCCAATTCAAGACACATCCAAATGTGAGATCAAAACATCAACAAGTGTTTTATGTTATCAAGATAGGCTTTTCAGGGACTGTATGAAATAAGAGTATAATGCAAGTCCTTAGTACGGGTAATTTATTTTGGAAATGAAATGTCATTCATGATAAAAATTACATTTACTGGGAAGGTCACGTAAGCAGCTACTGCAACTCCCTTCAGGCTTGAATCAAAGCGCAATATTACAGCTACAAAATCTTATTTTAGTTTTGCATTTGTGAGAAGCTCTAAGGCACAATGAACTAATTCTACATTTCCTACAAGCCAAGAACTTGGAAAGAAAAGTTCTCAAAGGCATTGGCATTAGCTATTACTGCATGGCAAAAGTAAGCACTGATACAAAGAGAATTGTCTTCTGTTAATTACCACCATGTACAGAGTCTTTAATACAGCACAATATAACTTAAGCTGGAAACAACCAAGTCAGCTCCTAAAAAAATCCATGCACACTAATGCAGAATCCACTGAAAAGAGTGGAGGATTCCTCTCAACTCACACGATACTATTCTGACAGAGTATTTTATTATCTGTTCCGCTTTACACTCAGATATGCTTATTATTTCCCAGTTCAAACTTCCACATTGCCTTTTTCTGTATTTTGTAGCATCTCAGCCCTATCAAAGCAAGAAGCACGGCAGCATCCATGTTTTCCTGAAAATGGAACTGAGACTCAACACAAGGAAAATGAAGGAAACCATGGTTATGGGGCCCAGTCCTGCAAATTTCACACTGAATATCTCTCATGTCCTTTTAACGTCAGTCAGAAATGTAGTATAGCAGTTGAGACATAGGCATTTAACAATGCTTTACATTTAAGGAACTTCTCAAAAATTAATATAGATGACAAAATGCAAAGCTTTACTCTTAAAAAAAAATTCTTAAATGCTCCTGAGGTCTGCAAATACTAAGTCATTTCATGTTTCTTTACCAATAAACAATCCTGCATTTCACTGCTGCTATATTCCAACAATGTCTGTGTTAGCAACGTAGCCTGGTTCATCTGTTGTGGTACAACAGTTTTCTTCAGGCATGGATCAATAACATTCTTCGCTATACATCAAAAAAACTCTTCCTGGAGGACTCTAGTGCTGCCCTTGGTGCATTCTGGGACTAAGTTCATCCTTATGGCAAGCAGTAATTCAAGATTACATGTATTACCTTTCTCCAAGAACTATTATGGCTTTTTCTCACTACACTAAAAACATCTGCAGGCTGGGAATCCAAGAATGAGTACTGTAGGGTAGACATTATAAATATCTACCATCCCCATGTTTCTATGTCAGCAGAGTGCTTTTGGATCCAGATGACTTCTGTGACCCTTGCACAGAACTGCCAGACCTAAAATGTGACCTCTGGCAATTGGCTTGGTTACTAGTTTTCCACTAGTCATATCTCCAAAGCTCAGAGTACTTGACGAAGTCTCAGACCCAGGGTAGTTTCAGATTTTTTTGCCTGACTGAATTTTCAATGCACACTGCAATTCAGGATGGTGTGGTTTCTGTGCATTAAGAGAATAATCCACATTTGTCTGCTACAGATTTCATTTATTTAAGGAAAAATGCTATTTTTTCCTGTGTTTCCTGGTGCTTTTGAAATACAGAACATGCTTTCAGGCCTCTTGCGTACAAAGAGTTCTCCAGGCATGCAATTTTGATTTAAAGCGGACAAGTAACACTCCAATGGCACATCCTCGATTGTGAGTGTGAAATGAGACACTCACTAGGCAACAGCACACCCAGGCTTCTGTCATTGTGCCACCACTGGGCTCCTTTAGCCAGGAGTGTTACTTTAGGCTGCTGAATAACAATAATTTTGTCGAAGTCCTTCATTGTGTTCTCCTCTTCATTTTTTCAAGCTTGAAGTTTTCTTTTTTTTTTTTTTTTTTTAAAACCTTGATTAAATGTAGAGGATTGCAGACCATCAGCAGAAGATGGTTTATAAAATCAGGGACTGAAGATAGATCCCCATAATAGTGGGACAGATCTCAAATTTTAAAAGCCACACTGAAGGAATAAGAATACAAATTATACAAAAATAAGCAGAAGGAAACATCACCCCCATTCATCAAAAAGTAAAAAAGAAAACCCTTGCATTTTCTAGAAAGGAACTATTCCTAGGCAGTCATTGCTGGCTTCCAATCTCTTCATTTTTGAGCTGCAGTGAAAAATTCTTGTTTGATTTAAAGGATTTTTTTCTCAGGAAAAGCAAACCTGACCTGCAAAAGCACTTGCAAAAGAAGTGAGTAAGGCTCAGGAAGTCTGCTACTGGTATATCTAAGAGTAGGATCTCCCTTAGTGTGAGATCAGACTGTCTTTTCCAGGATTTTCAAGCACTGATTACCTGGGTGAAAGGTCATTTCTGTTATCTCTGTGGAGCACCTACTATGAAGCAAATTCTGGTTCGTGACCAGGTTCATGTTAATATGAATGGAGTATAAGCACTTTAATATGACTTCAGAACAAGTGACAAGTTGTGCACAGCCCTTAAAACACCACTTTCCACACATTTGCATCTCTTTATCCCTTCCTCTCATCCTGCATAGTGTGCTCTATGTATTCTGCTGATATCCCCAACTCTTTTGCAGAGGCAGAACATGAAAGCATTCTACTTCAGCTCAGATTTTATAGGCCTCCTACCCAGTTATTAGAAGCAAAACAAGAAAAAAAAGCAAGCTTTTTACCTGCTGTTTTCTATCCACAGACTATTTGCTGTCTTTTCATAGTTTATTCTATTGTAATTCCTATCTCACTCATGTCTTTTATTAGTAGGATATGTACATCAGCATTTCCTGCAAGGTTTAGAGTGCAATTACCTGCCAGGCTTTTTTTTTTTTTTTTTTTTTTTTTGTCTTGAATATAAAATAAGACAAAAACATACCTTCAACACCTAACAAGAGGTATGTAATTCCATTGTGTGCAACCTTATCTAATTAAAACTAAAACAATGACTCAAAGTTGCCACATGAAGTTTTAAGTGGACAACTAACAAGTAGCTGTAAAATTAATATAACCAAAAAACAACTTATCCATTATATTCATCAACTTTGTGCTTGTTTTTTTAAAAAATAAATGAATCTCCTAACACAGCAAGTAATTCTCTGTTAAAAGCAGTGCTAAAAAGAGGATCTGGTGAAGAGTACACTCATGTTGATAACATGGTACGAGATTTTATTAGTAGCTTATGTATTTACACCCTTCATACGGGCACAGGAAAAGTCCAGATGCAAAGCTGAGTGAGCAAATGTTCCTTCTTATGGAACCAACCAAGGGCCAAAAATAGTTCAGGAAAATTTATGCAGAGATACAGTTACACATCTATACACCCAGTAATATTTACATTTACACAGAGCCATGGAAAGTGCCAATACAAGCCTGTTTATGCGCCAATTTCATGATAAACAAGTGGGTCTTAGCTTGCCAATAATTTGACTCCCAGCAGTCTATCCATCACTCTGTGATCTGACAACTTAAGAAAAAGGGTGAAGCAGGAAGAAATATGTCACGATGCCTATATAACCATCTTGCTATAAAACTGTTATATGTAAGCTCATTCTGATGGGAAAAATTTGGGCAGGAGGGGAATTCGATTTTCAGAATACTTATTGCTAACAATAGCTTAGCTCATACCTAGCCAAGTGTTCAAAGGAAAAAGAGAGAAAAATATTACAAACTCATACCTGATAAAAATGTGGCCAAAATGTACTGATGGCAAGTTCTGCTTTCACCCATCCTTCTGTAACAACCCCCGAGACATTCCATATCGGATTGCCCTGTGGTCCTCCGTTCACCTTCACGTAGACATTCAGAGAGCCAGGACTCGAACGGTCTCTGCTGGATAAGTAATAGTGGAAGTCGATGCAATGTGTGTCATTCTCCTTCAGGGTAGGCAACAGCAAGTGAGCTTTCTGCCCAGACGCCCGCCCAGAGCTGTTCACCATCATGAAGGAGCCTATAGAGGAAAGCAAAAAGAGAAGACCAGTTTTGCTTGGCTTTTTCAGTAAAACCAGTTCCATTAGGAACACCAGTGATTCCCCTAGAAGCCAGAAAACAAAACATTCAGCTGAAGATCTCAAACTAGCTATTTTATGCTAGTTGTTAGGTAGCAGAAAGAAAGGATATTAAAATTGCAAGGTGTATACACAAATAGATTCAGGGCCAACTAGAACCCCTTTAACTGGATAACTTAAAAATCAAAATAAAATACTTCTTTGCTTTTATCTTTTTTTGTAACCTTGTGATAGAACTGTAAACATAAGCATATTCACACTTCAAGTAGCCAGGAGGCTCTCCTACCACATACAGTCCCCCAAAAGGAACATTCAGTACAAAAACTACAACAATGGACCAAATTCTCAGCTGGTGTTTGCATACATGGCCCCTACCCACCTGGTGCCAATCTCTATCTGTGAATCCTGCATCTTGGCACTACAAACTTTTGAAGGTTGTAATGTGTTAAGACAAATCCAACTTCCGAAGCCCAAATGAATTAGGCTTGTTAGCATAACAGCAACACCTTGATTAGAAACAATGCAACAAGGACTATTATTCTTCTAGGAGGGAAGGACAGGCTGAATTTAGGGAGGGAATTATATACTAAGGCAATTTATGAGTTTGTTAACCTGGAAGTTTGCATCATATCAACCATGGCACTTGATGTTGAACTCGTATTTTGATTCATCAAGCAGTTATTTTACAGCACATCGTGTCTCAACTCATCTCTTCACAGATGCATCAAGGTGACGAATGTTAGCAATAAGGAAAAACATTATGAGAGTTATTTGATTCAATTCTGTTTAAAGGATCTCCTTTATGTGTGTGCAGACAGTCACATTCAGAAAAAGCTGAAGAAAATACTAAGACTGGGGGGGGGAGGGGGGATGAGGGGCGCAGAATACGTGTGTCAGCAGCCAGGCATGATAATTTTTAATCAAATGCGGCCCTCTTGACACTCTCAGTTCTGATGCTGCTGCCAAGGCATGCTACAAATCTATTTCTCTGCTGGCCTCTTGCAGTTCACAGAAGATTGAGTTTGAAAAGCCTTGCCTCACTTCTAACCTATTGACTTTCCCTATTCCATGTCATAGCAGTGAAGAGCCATATATTCTAAATTTATATCAACAGATACGAGCAACTTTCTCCCACAAAAAATGGTTTTTTCCCTGTGTTTGTATGATACATATGCATTTTGTAAAGGATTGAAAAGTATGGACACAGAAGGAAGTCAATCTTTCAAAAAAAATCACACATTCTAGAGACCTTGGAAAACTCAAGCACAATGCAAGCACAGCTGGGGAAGAGGTTGTACTAATATGAAAATTTAGAGGCAAGATGCTCTCTGGCAATCCTATCTTTCATTCTGATATGCTGAAAATCAAAATGTCCCCAAGTCAAGAAATTCCAGATTAATAGCAAGGACTTCGAGAAACGTAAGGCCTGAATCCAAACATTTCAATTTCTCTCTAATAATCAAAGTCTGTAAGATGGGATCCTGACAAATGTTCGCTGTAGAACTAATTCTGCTCCCAGTCAACCACAAAATTCCCTTCTTCGGCAAGTACCATATACATACTATTTTTAAAAATCCACCCACATTAGCTAAAATTTTGGGAAACTGAGATTTGGATTCTGTTTCTATGACCTAGGATAAGTTATTATCAGGCAGCACAATTGCCAACAGGCTTGAAAAGGCAGCACAGCCTGATAGTTAAGGCAGCAGGCTGGGAACCTGACAGCCTGGTTTCTAAGACTAATTATGACACTCGCTTCCATGATCTCTGTCAGTGCACATAGCCTGCCTTATCTTCTCTTACAAATAAAGCAAGAATGGTCCTAAGAACCACTCTTCTGTTGAGAATCTGGGAGGAAAGCCACTGTAAAACTGCAGAGTAACCCTAGTGTAGTATAGAGGAGAGTAGCAGCAGCTGCGAAATGCACTGCCTGCAGCCTTTCCATGCCATTTTGAGAAACAGTACAAGCTATGCTGAAGACAAGTTCTACATTTGCCAGATCTCATACTTGAGGATGATCGTGCAGTCAATTTAAACACTCAGTAAAGAAAAACAGAGCTCCTGTGCATCTACAAGGTTTCTGACCAAGTGTCTGCTACACTGGGTAGGAACCCAGGAAAACTCGGTTTTGCACCATCATTGAGTGGATCATAGGGCACTAATTTTGCTTCTGGGCATCTTTCTCAACTTCTTTTTTTATTATTTGGATAATAAATGGATTCCTACCCTAAAGAACGATTCTGAAGCTGTACTGTCTCTATATGGTCTTGAACTGTACTGGGGTAGGTAACTGTTTCAATGATAGAAAAAGTTAGGGAGTATTTCAATTTTACAGATTTATGTATAAAAATAATGAGCTTTCCTCTGGCAGAAAAAACATCAGCTTTTATTAAAAGTTCAAAGTAATAATTACAATTTTATTTTTTGCCACCCACAAAAAATGAATCACAAGCTATTGGCGCTATGACAATGGCCTTTTGTGCAACTGCTGACAATTCTAGAGAGAGTATGGAGCCTGAATCTAGTGACTGACAGCGTAAGCAAGTAAAATATCCATCCACCAAAAAGCGCTTAACAAAATAGGTAGTCTTAGTTACTAAAAGAATAGCCTTACAAACAATTGTCATATGCAAATTATTCACAGCTTCTTATTTATAGCCTATGATTTTTTTTAATACAGTATGCCTAGAGATACAGGAGAAAATACTATAAAAATGTGTCTCCAGTAAAGTCCTGATAAGAGGTATTATTTTATATGACAGTGGAAAAGATGAAACGTTTCCACTTACAGTGCCATCTCTGACAGAGAAAAGTACTCACACCTTGTTTAAATCTGTTTGCCATCTACTGACTATACCACATCTCTTATTTCTGCAGAGACTTAGTGTGGCAGCTTCCAGAGCAAATCCTTCCCCGGGCTGGTCAAGGCACAGAGCACAACACCTCCAGCCTGGCCACTGTAGGGGATGTAAGCTTACAGTTTTGTCAAGACTATAATTGACATTGGATACAAGAATACTACCGATTTACCAAATTCAGTTGCGAATAAATTATAACCTGTATTCTACAAACTGGCCTCCACGTATACCCATTTTCATTTTTATTTGCACAGCGTGAACTTGAGTGGGTACCCAGTCCCCTGTCCTCTAACACCTTCAAAAGGTCACTCTGCATGCTTCAAGATCAACAGGTGTGATCCACGGTCCTATTACAAATGTCCCTGCCCAGTGAAGCTTGTCAGGCCAGGCTACATCGCTTAGAGGTAGGTGGGAGATCATGAAAATTGCTCCCGCCAGGAAAAAAAAAAAAAAAATCAAAACAGCTTTTTAAGGACGAGGGTGGTTTTCCTTATTATCCTTAATAAAAATAGACATATTGTGATTCAGAGTCTGACAGCCTTCTTTAGAATGAACATAGAAGTGAAGCTGATGGGACTTATTCTCAATTTATAAGCCTATATGTGCAAATAAAAGAGATACAATCTGGTCTGGCACCAACAAACCACTTGTCATATTTTCCACTCATATAAAGAACTAGGGAACAAATTAACATCTCACAAATGGAAATTATTGATCGACGGATGACTGAAAGCCACTTAAATGTCTCCAGGCAAGAATCTGAATAAAACAAAAGCTATCTTGGAGAAACTCTTATTTAGACCACCGCATATCCAATTTTGAAAAAATAGTAATAGTAGAAAAAAAATCATTTAGCCTCGTTGTTTTGTTTACTTCCATCCAGAAAGTTCAGATGTCATAAAGCCAACACTGAACTGAAAAAATGAATTACCCATGCTGTGTAAAAGTTCCTTTTTATATTTATTGGACACAGAAGTATACGCTTATTAAAGCAGATTGAATATCAGGCCCATTAAATGTAGCGCTCTTGGATCAACAGGTTAGATTAATTAATATCTTGCTGGTCTCATCCTGAATAACCAAAAATGAATGTGTTATGTTCAGATCAGTCAGAAGCAAGGAGGATGTGAAGACGGTAAATAAATTCATTTTTAAAAATCCGTTCTAACGACAGGAACATAAAACGGCACTCTCTCATAGTTATTAAACATACCACTGAAAATTGGGGAATTAAACCATGAAGTGCTCTCTAGCTGGCCATAAATTTCAATTTTTCCCCTGCTTGGTGCATAATGATGCCTTGATAAGCGTCCTATTATTGATGCATCTGCAACATATATCCTCTTTTTGGAGCTGAAATGCTACTCTGTAGCAGATGGTGGCTATTGTGTTTACACATCAGCACTTTATGATTGCATTTTCTCACGTCTCCAGTAAAAAGAAAGCCGTAATTGAGTTTTTAATGGCTTTGCACATTGTTCATTAAGATTACATGAGTGTGTTCTGACAAATGACAGCTGAAGAAATGAGCCACTGAGAACCCCTCATGATCACCAGACAGACCTCAGTTGATGCTGTTTCACTGTTGGCTTTGAAGAACCATGCTGTTTAAAACTGAAATTATAGGAACCATTAAAGACTGAATGTAAACTTAAAAAGAAAGCTGTCAAAATGCTCAAAAAGAGACTTCTGAAACCTTGAAAACCAGAATCAGGTACAGAACATTCTTTTAAAGAGCAAACTCCTTCCCAAAATAAAGGAAAGGTTTTTCCAGCAGCTCCATCAGGTGCATGAGCATGTTTTAGACACAGTTTTGCTTATTTCCAAAGAACAACTCTATCTCTAGGAAAGTAAGTCTGACCTCTATCCTTGTTAAGGCAGAACAAAGTGACACGGACTAATCTGGGTTGGAAGGGACCTCAGGCCAAGCTCCTGCTCAAAGCAGGGTCAGCTGTGAGGCCAGATCAGGTTTCTCAAAGCTTTTACCTACTGAATCTTAGAAACCTCCCAGGAGGACTATGCCCATCCCTTCTGGGAAACCTGTGCCATTGCTTAACTGCCCTCATAGTTTTTCCATATATTCA